GGAAGAGGAAGACCAAGAAAAAACATAGGTGAAACAATTGAGAAATATTTAGAGATCAATGTTTTGCCAATGAAAACGATTTATGATAGAGCACTATAGTTTCATTCGATCCATGTAGCCGGCCCCATCTTGTGGGACCAAGACTTGGTTGTTGTTGTAGGGGACAGACTGCATAAACATTCAACAGGGCAGTTTTTTTCTTTGTTGCTTTCTCATGTTTCCCGGGTTGTGTTCAACGCCATAGCTTTTATATAATTATCGCCACTTTAGTCTCAGTTTTTAATCCAGGTTTCATCTGAGTTATATGTCTGGTGGCTTCTCTCAATGCAGATTGACCTTCTTTTATCCTTTTGTTCTGAGATTGGACTTTCTTCAGTGGTTCTTATCGGTCATGATGATGGAGGCTTGCTTGCCCTGATGGCTGCACAAAGAGTGCAAACATCAATGAATTCATTCAATGTGAGTATTTCCTCTTTCATGTTGAGGTAATAGGTTACTTGGTGAATTTGACTAGCCTAACTGTGCTGCTGAGCTTTTTATAAGGCTGTTTTGAAATTACCTGTACCACTGATCCTAATCAATTGCAAATTTATTTGATGTATTTTGATAGCATTTATTTCTCTAAAATTCCAGATAAACTAAAATAAGATTTGGAAATTCTGCAAAAACATACTGTGTATGTGTAGCACACTACTCTGTTTTTTTTGTCATATACATCCTCACATTCATAATAGAATCTTCACCATCGGATGTTTTAATAAATATTGCTGGTTTGCAAAATTAGATGAGGATAATTCAGATTATTTACTCTTGGTCTTTTTTTTGTGTGTCAACTCAGGTTACTGTGAAAGGGGTTGTATTGCTAAATGTTAGCTTGTCAAGGGAAGTAGTTCCTTCCTTTGCCAGAATTCTTTTGCATACATCACTAGGAAAGAAGCATTTGGTTCGCCCTCTACTAAGAACAGAAATCACTCAAGTGGTGAATCGGCGTGCGTGGTATGATGGTACCAAATTGACCACAGATGTTTTGAATCTCTACAAGGTGTGTTTGTACCATCCGCTATATTAAATATGAATTGCTTTGTCCTTTACTTGTCTTGTCTGTAAAGATAAAGAACTCAGCAGGATATGTTACTTTGTAGTTGGCATACATAATAATTGTATTTCTGTATTTCTTTACTTTCCATCAGGGTTTTGTTTTGCTATTGCTTTTATTGAAGCATCATTTCTAGATTTAGAAATTTATTGACTCGGGTTATGTGACTTCTATGCTTAAGGCTCCACTATCTGTAGAAGGATGGGAAGATGCGCTTCATGAGATTGGTAAATTGTCATCTGAAACCATCCTTCCAGCAAAAACTGCAGAAGCATTGTTACAAGCTGTAGAAGACATTCCAGTTTTGGTCATTGGCGGTGCTAAGGATTCCCTTGTTTCTTTGCAATCATGTCAAGCTATGGCCTCCAAATTTGTAAATTCTGTAAGTATCCTACATTTCTACTATTAACCCATATTTTTTTATACATTCTGCATAAAACTTGCAAGTTCTGCATGCAGTAGTAATAGTCAACCTGAATTTGAAGCTAGACTTTTATTGCGTATCCAAATACCTTTCCAATTCCACTATCTGTTTCTTACTCTCCATTTCTAATTTCCGAAGCATTTGTCATGGCACATGATTTATCTTTTTCAAGTTTCATAATGCTTATTTTGCCATGACTTATGCAGAGACTGGTTTCAATATCTGAATGTGGCCACCTACCCCATGAAGAGTGTCCGAAGGCATTGCTCGCAGCTATTTCACCCTTCATTAGTAGACTCTTGTCTACTTCTGACTCGCAAAGCCAATAGTCATTTCTTTTTAAAGCTGAATATACAGAGTTGTTATCTTGTAGGTGTTTGATTTTCTCTTCCTTTTCCATTTCCCCTGTAATTGCTTTGGTTGATTTCTTATTTCTAGGATAGTTCTTAAAATACACCCCTCTATTTTTCATCTCCATTGAATTTGAAAGGCAGCGCTGCAGCGGTAAGCCGGTAACAGCACCATGATTCAATTTCACCATCCAATGTTGCAACCTGTGGCAGCCCCAACCCATTTACACCCGCGCTAAAGACTCTGCTATCATCAGTGTCACTAACCTCAGTAACAGCTTCGACTTTGTTGTTTGCATCATCCATGCCATTGGCGACACCGTCTCCCTCTCCCATTGATCCAAATGTGAACCCTAGTCAAATTTCTACCTCTCTTAATTCCAGTGACAACATCAACCAACATGATCAGCAAAAATCCTCTCTCGAATTTCGTCGGCATTGCTGGAGATGAAGAATTAAAGGTTCATTGCCATGATCATTGGAGATGTTGACAGGAGAAGACAGAGGTTGTTGCCTTGTCGGAGAAGGGGTGAATGGAGGCGGAGTTGGATTTGGTTAAAGACCACAATGGCAAGGTTGTGATTTCAACATTTTCATCTTTCACTCTCAACATTGATAAATAGGGGGAGCATTCATTTACCAAAACTTAAGAGAGCATAAAAGCAGCACCCTTTTTCCTAAGCTATATTACTTAAAGATAAAAGAAACCAAAGGGTACCTCTTCTCCCTCTTCAGTGTTTTGATGTGCTAGTTTTAGTGGTTTTTATAACCTGTATATTCACATTTTTAGCAATCCATGTTAATGTTCCTTTACATTTGTAAATTTACCATCCCATTGAGAATGAATATAATGTGGTTTTCTTACTTCCAACCCTTCCTTCTTTTTCTTTTACTTTTTGTTGTTGCTGGATATAAACCTTTCAAAATACTAATTACTTCATTGGACGAAACACTACACTTTGGTGCTGAAATTACGTGTAGTTACCAAATTTCATAATCTAAGAACACACTTCTTCTCTTACATCAGGCCTAGAAAATACCAACTCACTAATGATTTAATCTTTAATTTATTGATAAAATATATTTAATTTAAAATTTTAATAATTAAAGTATTTTTATAATCGATCATAAATAGTGATATATGAGGTAATATATTTTTTTGGAAAACCATTAGATATAATTCATACAAGCATTGTCATGAATTTCTTGTAGATATGTTTTTTTGTATCTTTTAAAATGGGTCATTAGATTAGAAACCCATTAAATATTAGTCATTGAGAAATTGAGTAACACACTGAAGTTCACACAAACATGGGAAAAAGAAATACATGTTAGGCAAATTCATATGTGGAGGTGAAGATAATCATAAAACTTCATGCTCAACTTTAGAAAATCTTAACCATCTTAAGCATGTTCAAGTATATGATTTATTTATTTATTTTGGAAGACTTGTAGGTATTATAAAGAGAAGGGAAGAGGAGAATGAAAAAAAGTATTAGTGTATTTTTTATTCTAAATTCAAATATTCACATTTCACAACTCAATCACTATATTAGAAGACAATTTTTTATCTTATTAGTGTAAAAATATTAAATTACAAATATGGCATGTATGATGTACCCATAGTTGTATTGGAGCGAATTGGCCTGCATGCATGTGATATTTCTAATATGCTAATTGCCTCACACAATTATTATTATTTGCATCTACAAGCAATCAATTTATTTGGTATTTTATTTTTGCCATATTTTATGATACATCTTATTTTTACTATCTCTAATATTAAATATATTATTATAACTAATAATAAATCTTATATACATATATTCTATTTTTAAAATTTTCAGTATATATTTATACTATTATTTTTCGGTACTAATTTATAATAATAAATAAATGTTGGAATTAAAAAAATATGGATTTTGTAACGGTAATAATAATAAATGGTATCTAATAACCCAATCCAATCTCGTAATTTCTTCAAGGTCTAGATTACACTCACCATGTGTCAAAAGTTACATTTTTATTAAATTATTATTACAAATCCATAGCTTGTACCCTGTAACCCCATCATTATCATTAGTACATTTAATGAATGAAATATCACTAAAATGCTTTAACCAATAACCATGAAGAATGGTATTCTCTGTTAGTTTAGCATTGGATTTGATTTCGCTACAAATTACTAAATATTAATACTATTAATAAAGTCAAAACCCAAAATAATTATCTTATGGTATAATTTGTACTTCCCAATTTTGCTATTATTGTCTTCTAATTTATACAAAAAAAATCATATAACCAAATAATATATTTTCTAATTTAATTTAGCCTTCATGGTAACCTCTACCAAAACTCTTAAATTGTTTCTCTCATGTTTTTCTTATCATTTTTCTCTTCTCATTCTTAAAGATTTAACAATTAAATCAATCGAATATATTCAACTGCAAATTAAAATATATAACACAATTTACTATATGTAGAGTACACATTACAAATGATAGGAAAACGGGTTGACAATACACAATACTATAAGATTGAACAATTGACTCAATCAAATATATTATATATATATATATCAAACATTTTTATTTAAGTTTTTTCACCAGATGCAATTTGATTGTGATGGAAATAATCACACTATATAATATAGCTAGCTCTTTTAAGTAAAGATATGGAAGACTCAAACTCAAAATTTAATATAAGGGGGCCATCATTAAACCAATTCATATTGTTTTCTATTAAAATATACATATATAATTATACTATAATCATCTTTCAATTCTTACCATTGCACAACAATTATTATTTTCAATAATATGGTTATGGCATGTGTAATTTTGTATTTCAAAAAAGAAATAATTTATTTGACTTTTAGTATTTTATTTAAAAATCGAAATTTTAATCTCAAAATTCATTCTGATTTTTCTTAAAATTATTTTATAAGAAAATATAAAATTGATACATTAAGTCGGGTAATGATAAGTTTAAATAACATAATATCATAATACTATGTTGATAAACACATGTATTGATGCGTTTAATTTAATATTGTGGACTTGGCTCTCTATATTCATTGAAAGATGGTATATTTTTTGTTCATAGTTTCATTTGTTGAGAGTTCCAAAAAAGGGGCATTCCGAGAATCGAACTCGGGACCTCTCGCACCCAAAGCGAGAATCATACCACTAGACCAAATGCCCAATTTATTAAAGCACGTGAAATGAACTAAAACAGTACAAGCTACAAAATCTAACTGTACAAACATGACATTCCAAAATAGAAGTAACTACAGAGCCTCCTGCTTCATATCATTCCCATAAATTTTAAATCCAAGATAACTATAGCATTGCATAAGCTCTTTCTGAACTACTTTGAATACGACATTAATATAAAACAGAGTCTCAAATGATTGAACACAATGTTATATATTTAGATAACACAATGAGTAACATTATTATTATACTCCATCAGATTTGTGATGTTTGAGGCATCTAAGATTATGAATCAATGCGGTCAAATTGTTGTAGGATGAGCCACCTTGTTGAATGGCTTGTCTAGCTTTATTTCCAAACTCATGGGCACGTTTTCTGATTTTGTCTGCTTCATCACCATCTTCCATCAACCTCTTGACAACTTTCTCTATTTGATCTCTCCCTACCAACTTGTCTGTTTTCCATGAACCACAATTGTTCCACACTTGGGCACCCACCTCAATCCCAATCCCTCTCACTTGAGTTATGAGTTTCTCATTGTAAAATTGTTCGCTGTGCACAGGCCATGTTATCATTGGAACACCAGCACTAATGGCCTCCATGGTTGAGTTCCATCCACAATGAGTCAAGAATGCACCAATAGCAGTGTGGTTTAGTATCAACACTTGTGGAGCCCAGCCTTTTATTATCATCCCTTTCATCTTATTCCTTTCTTCAAATTCCTTAGGGAGCCACTTCTCCTTCTCCTCATCACTCTCATGCTCCTTCCCCTTCTTCTCAGGAACCACCCATATAAATCCATGACCTGATGCTTCAATCCCACATGCTATCTCATAAAGCTGTTTATCTGGGAAGTGACAAAGACTTCCAAAGCATATATAGAGAACAGAATTCAGTGGCTTTGAGTTGAGCCATGTAAGGCACTCATGCACGCTAACAACACTCTTTTGACCTCTCTCTTCATCACTTTCTCTAATAAGAGAAGCAGGACCAAGATGCCAAGCCTTATGCCCTGTGGTTTTCTCGTAGTGGTTTATATACTCTTCTCCATCAACCTCTACAAAGTTGTTCACGATGAGCCCATAGCTTTTGAGCTCAGTCTTCCGCAACTGTTCCAGGAAGGTATACAACTCCTTTGGCGGTGTATCCTTCATAGTTATAAGGTGAGGGAAACCTTTAATAACAAAGGTATCAATATTATCAGGGTTGGGATTTGCATAAAGGGAATCGAAAGCACAAACAGCAAAGAGAGAGAATCCATTGAAGGCAAGTCTAGGGACATGAAGCTTGTTGGCCAAGTCATGTACCCAAGTGTATAAAAAGTCAGCAACGATGAAATCGGGTGGGTTTTGAACAATGAAATGTTCAATAGGTCCTTTGAGAAGCATGGCGGCTTCGTAGACTTTGAGAGAGTGGGAATCTTCAGTGACAGACATGAGTTCAATGCCATCAGGGAGACCTACTTCTTGAGAGGGGAATGGAATTGTGTGAATGTGGAAATGGTTTGAAATTGAATGCTGAAGGGTTTCAGCATTGCCAATAGTGGTGATGATGGTTACTTGGTGCCCACGTGATGAAAACAATCGAGCTATGTCACAAAGAGGTATCATATGGCCACATGCTAGGTATGGAATCAAGTATATTTTCAATGATTCTTCTTCAACAACATCATCTGCCATTTCTTTTCTACTCATATGTTGCTTTGCTTCGCCTATTATTATATATACACTTCACTAGGATTGGGTCTTTGTACTGTGTATTAAGATTTTAGATATTACACCTTGTGATTGAAAAGTCTAAGAAAAAGAAAAAGAAAAAGATGTTGTGATCAAACACTCCAGTTGTTTGTATTTGAAAATGGAGGAAATGCCATATTGTGGGCCATAGTGTTTGAATTTATGGTCAAAATGTTTTCATTCAGTACTTGCAAAGCAAATCAGCTTCCACATGATAAAGTGGAGACGTGGCTCTCTACTCTTTCTACACATTTCACACCGATTTCTATTCATTTTTCTATATTATTATAAGACCATATTTCCAACAGGTTTATCATGGGATTTTTTAAGTCCGGTTAAAAATAATAAAGTCTCTAAAATTTAACCCATAATTTGCATTAAAACAAGCCATTTGAGAGCCATAAAATGATAAAAAATAAATTAAGGTCCCTAATTTTTTTATTAAAAAAATAGCTAAGGGTTTTTTTCAAAGTGATGAGATTATTATATTTCCAATAACCATGTTCCTATGCATGTTGAAAATGTCAATATTATGTCTTGCATACCAGTTTAGGTTTATAATGGAAACTTGAAGGAAATTTACTTGCATTGTCCAAAATATGTAGTAGTTTATCTAAATTTAGTTGTGCCGGTGTGAAGAAATCTAAGACCGCCTAAAGAATCTTATTAAAAACAAAGAAAAATCCAAAATGTTGTGATCTACATTAAAGATGAAAATGACAACTTTGCATTTGAATGTAAAAATAAAAAGATGAGATTATCAAGTCTTTTTATTGGCCATATTGTCTGCAGCGTGAGCCACAAGGTTTTTTGACTCTCTAGCATTGACAATGATATGATTTCGTTTTCCTTCTAAGGCCTAATATTCCAATTGCACACTCTTCATTCTTTCAAATTATTTTATATTCAATGCATTTTTCATTTTCTAAATTATAAATTTTTTTATTAGACATTATATTTCCAAGAAATAAAACATAACTCTAAACACTATTTGAAATTATTATTATTCAATATGTTTTTTTCATCACAAGCTAGGTTGATAGATATTACTCGTTTTTAGTAAATTGTCAAAATAGAGTTCAAGAAACCTATTTTGAAGGATAAGAATATTAAAAGCTAAAAATGTGATGGAATATGTCGGGGAACATGACTCATCTTCATTACTCGAGAGTGAAATCTTATTTTTTAATATATTTTAAAATTTAAAAATATAATTACAATATAAATTAAAATGATATAAGTGTTAATATATTTTAATTTTTGAGAGAAACTTCTTCTCTTCATTCTCAAATTGTTGGCAGCTGTAATAAAAAAAATTGGTGGCGGCTCTGCATTGCAGCTTGCGGACTAAACATAATTTATGAAAATAAACTCCTCTTAATCGGTGCTATTTTTTCGAGTTTCATATATACTGCTTGAAATTAAATTATTTGATAAAGAAGGCTGTTAAATGTCATTAACAATTGATTTGTAATCTTAATCTAATAGTGGTAACTGTTCTGCAGAAGCAGAAGTTAGCGTGTGGGTTAAACTGTTCAAGGTTGGCTTCATTTGCTTCTATTTTAAAACACTTTTCAATCTCAACCATACATAAATGATTCAATTATACTGATGTACAAATAATAATTACCTTCGATGAAAGAACCTTGCTTACTAAAATTTGAATTCATGTTTGAGGATTATACGTGGGAAAATTACTTAATTTGAATTAGAGTAAATTACATTTATATTATAAATTTTTAATAAAATTATATAAATTATCCCGATACATAATTTTAATATTTACCCATGGATAAATGTATTATTTTAAGCAAAATAAGGTGATTAATATAATTAAATTAAACAAAATTTGTTATATTGTGGATACAAATCCATATAGTATAAGAGTGAATATCTATTTATTATTTGTTGGCTCGTTATAAAGTGCATCAATAATTCTAAGGGGATGTTTAAATTATTCTTATACTATATTGTAACAAACTAAAATTAATGAAAATGCATTGACTCTTATACTATTTGGATTTATTTATACAATATTACATATTTAATTTAATTTAATTAGACTAATAACCCTATTTTGCTTTAAAGAATACATTTATCTCTCTTACCATGATAATTAGTACAATATATGTATATATACATAAATTAGAAATAATTTATGTATGTGTAAAAAAAGAGTGCTAATTTATATTATTTTATTAAAACTAAAAGAATTGTAATTTATAATATCGTCTTATAACTCTTTTGATTATAAGATATTTTAAACATAAATTACACTAGTTTTATGAAAACTCAAAGTGAAACCTTTATCAGTTTGCGACTTGATTTTCAGAGGAAAATAAAATAGAAGACTTCATAATCACCTTGTAACTATACATTTCATAACTCTAAAACCTTAATTTTTGTTTATTCTAAACTCAATTCATAAGAAAAAATTCAAACCGAAAATATGAAAATGGAACTCATTTAAGGTTGGGTTTATTGAACTTGGGCGTGGGCTATTTGTTTCCACAGATGAAGCTTTAGCCCTCAACCAGCACTAATTTCACTCATATCAGTTTCATTAGGTGTACTAGACCCACTTGGCTTGGGCTATATATTTTGTGGTTACTTTTCTTTAACTTAAAGTAGGTGACACGTAAAGTTTACTTATTGGTTAGGAAGAATTTTATATCTCTATATACATTACCTTATTTCGTAGCATAAATTAAAAAAGTAAAAACTATACAAGTTATGAATGGAGAATGCATCGTGGGTGCAGAAGGATGGGATAACGGGTCTCCTTTTCAGACACCGCCTAATGATTATGTCATAAAGAGTCTAATTTTGGTGAATTGAAAAGCTCCTTTAAGATGATTGAAAAGCTTTCTCCCAAACTGAACCTCCCCATAGCATGGCCTATGGTTATGATATTCTAATTCCATAATGCAATTGTTGGGTTGGTTGTTTTGTATTTTATTTAATGAAATATTAACAATAGAAAGTGGGGAAGGTATGGATGGTGGCCATGACCTATTATGGCTACCTAATCCGCATCATTTCTCCACCAATTCGGTGGTGCCTTCCTCTTCCTCCCACCTAACTCCACTTTCTTATTTCCTTTTCATACTTCATGGCCTCTTCAGATCCACCCTCCGCTATCCCCCTCCGCCGCATTCCTCCGCCCTGCTGGTCCCCCGACGAGACCCTCTCCCTCATCCATGCCTACCGCCTCAGGTGGTACTCCCTTGGCCGCGGCAACCTCAAGGCCACCCACTGGCAGGAGGTC